TTTATTCATCAATATGCTTCAAGAATGTCTACTTTTACTTCCATTTTAAGCTCCAGCCTATTTCCTAGAATTTATGCACATTGACTTATAGTAAGAACTGATCAGTTAACTCATCAGAATTGTGCAAAGATCTGTTGAATAGGTTATCAAGTTATATTCTATTAACGATAATGTAAGCTGTGGAGAAAGGTAGGAAGTTGAATTATTTAAATCCTTTAATATAACAGGTTCCATTCATACAGCTATATGAAATTATTTGGTAGCATAAAACCATAGGCTATGACTCATGCCGTGTCCATCAAGCTATCAGTGAGTGACTGTGTAACAGGGTTTGAAAGGACTCAATAAAGTTTTTTCTTTCAATTTGAAAGGCATAGCTTTATGAAATACATAAAAATATATGATAAATACTTATGATAAATGAAAAAAAAACATATTAAGGGATTGTAAAGAGGTTCTCTAAATTTTGTATGTGTATTAGGGGACTCAGTATCACAGTGTTGTACATGTATAAACTGTAAATATTTTTTATGTACGTATATATACGGAAGCTCAAATACGACACGTTTTTGAATTTCATATTTGAAAAACTATTTTTGAATTTCATATTTGAAAAACTATTTTTGAATTTGAAAAGATACTTTTGAATTTGTGACCATTTTATGCTGATGATGCTGACATACTTTTTGGTACCATCAGTTCGACAAAAATCAAAAGTATATTTTGTACTACGTCTACATCTTCGATTAATTTGTGATCATTGATTATTAACAAAGGATACAGTCATTATCGACTGGAAGATCATAGAAAGAATTTATTGGTTATTGGTTATTGGTGCTATCTTTCTGAGAAATTTAGTATCGTAAAACATTGAATAACATACAAGTTATTTAATATACTCTGGATATCATCAATGCTTGGACAATATTTCACTGTAGAGTTATGATCCAAATTCTATTAAACTCGCGCTAATGTCATACTTTGTTATGCTAATCAGATATATTGAATTTCAATTTAGTAAACTATGTAGTACACCAAATGGCTTAAGTATCAAATCGATTAGACAACTGGTCGCATGTAAACAATGTTTTTAAGGTGTTAAATGGTGGTCATTTTCATTATACTATTTCCAGATTGTTTCATAAACTGATCTTTCGGGATTACAGTAAATAACACCAAATAAAAAAAACTGCTGTTTATTCTCACACCATAGCATAGCGATTATCAGTAGCGTATGGTTGCGATTAATTAAAGTAGTTATGAGTTATGAGCAACTCTCGTGCAACTAAGAAGTGAGTTGCAATCGAAACTAATGACCGCTTCTTGATACAAACTTTATAAGATATTATTTCATTACATACTGACACTGTATCAATACAATAATTTGGTAAAAAAATTATAGGAGAATTTACTTGACAAAATTGACAACATTGTTTATCGTTATGTTTCAGTGAATCAAGATTTATCCTGGTAGCTTTCATTGGAAACAAAACCAACCATGGGTATGTCACTTTTTATACACCCACATTATAATATGGTCATATATTGTCGTCGCCCCTGTCCGTTCGTCCGTTGCTTGTAAACACGATAGAGACTACAGTTTTTATCTTATTTTAATAAAATTTCGTGTGCTTATTTATATTGATGAGATCTTGGTCAAGTTCGAATTTGACGATGAACAGTTTTTGAGTTATTGCCCGTGACGTAGGAAAAAACGCGTAAAAATTTGTTTGTGAACGCAATAGAGATGACAGATTTTATCTTATTTTAATGAAATTTGGCGAGCTCATATATATTGATGAGATCTTGGTCAAGTTCGAATTTGACGATCTTTCGATGACCGGTTTTTGTGTTATTATCCTTGACAAAAATTGTTTGTGAATACGATAGAAACTACAGTTTTCATCCGATTTAAATAAAATTTGGTGTAATTATTTATAATGAGGAGATCTTGGTCGAGTACAAAATGACGATTTTTCGATAAACAAATTTTGAGTTACTGCCACTGACTTAGTAAAAACGCGTCAAAATTTGTTTGTGAACACAGTAGAGACTACAGTTTTTATCTGATTTTAATGAGATCTTGTTCAAATTTGAATTTGACGATTTTTCGATGAACGGTAATTTGAATTGCCCTTGACTTAATAAAAACGCATCAAAATCTGTTGGCTTGTGAACGCAATAAAGATGACAGTTTATGTCAGAAGTTTATGAAATTGTGTGTGTTTGATTAAAACAACAATATCTTGAAAAAATTAGAATTTTGGTACGATTTGACACAGACTGGCGACCGCCCTTGATATACTGAAAATTTATCAGGGATATGATCGTATCTTGCTTGGCAACCTCTCATCGAACAAGATATGATCAACATAGAGATCAATATATTTCAGAATTTTCGCATATGTTATTTAATTGATGTTTCTACCAATAGACATTAAACATGATGTTTTATGCAAACAGAAAATACAACATGATTGACCATGGAAGTCAAAATCTCAGTCTAATTACTTTGGCTCCTTTTTTATTGTCTTTTAATTTTTAGCCACTTCAGTTAGGATTTAACGACAGCCCTGTTGAAAGTTCGTCAAATTAACCTAACTCGATGACTTTTGCTTTAACTAATCAATTTTCTATCCTCTCCAGCGCTGGAATTTGGTGACGCGGTGTTTATCAGGTTGAAGGAAGTTTGGTCTCTGTAATTAGGCTGTCAAAATCTGTAATGAATTCGTTTTACTTCTATTTCTTTTTTGATATTGACACAAATTTCATGCTTCCTGTCATTTAGAATCAGATGAAACATCGGATGAAGATTTCTGTGAAATTGAATTGCCACCAATCATAGATCAATTGAAACGTCTACTAGAACAATATTCAGATGGACAGATTATTAAGGTAAGTTTTACATTGATATACTTGTATTGTTACTATTGTGTTGAAATAACTTCATCCCTCTAGGCCGGGCTTTTGATTTTGAAAGGTGAAAATTGAGGACTGAGGACCACCAGCTGGTAAGCAATATTATTCAAATGACCATCTTTAATTTTAAATAGGACCTGATACAAAATGCTGAAGATGGTGGAGCTACAGTTTTTATACGCTGGTAAAAAATATGAAGAAATTAGATATTCAAATAAGGCATGGAAAAAAACACCAATTAAAATTGCTATGCAGGTAATCAAGAAATTAACGTTATGACATTATTCGTGTTAACTTGCATTCAAATAAGCCACCACAAAATTGTTTTAGAAGTGTGTTCGTGGTTTGGACACATGGTTGTAATCAGCTTTTTTTAATGCTTCCGCTAATAGGTCTATTGATACTGTTTTAAAAAGTTAAAATTGTTAATTGTTAAATTAGAGTTACTCCCCTTCTAGTCCGACATTCACTTGCTGTCCCGTGACTGGGAGTGGGGCTGCCTGGATGTGCATGAACAATGAAGAATTACCTTTACTCTGTTTTTTTTTTATCTTACTACTCTCGTGTATGATTGCATTACTGACAATTTAGATTATTGCCATATTAAGAATTCCTTGTAGTAATGTATTTATTTAAATGTTTTCTTCTAGGCACCTGCTCTATGTGTATACAACAATGGTATATTTACTGATAAAGATTGGAGAGGTATTGCTGCCATACAGTGTAGTCAAAAAGAAAAAGAACCCTTGAAAGTTGGTAGATTTGGATTAGGATTTAAGTCTGTTTTCCACTTAACAGGTACTTAAGTGCTCAGTTTTTCTCTCGACTCACTGTCCTCACACTTTACCTGAACATACACCTCACATTCTCACACATTACCTGAACATACACCTCACATCCTCACACATTATCTGAACATACACCTCACATCCTCACATCCTCACACATTATCTGAACATAAACCTCACATCGTCACATTTACCTGAACATACACCTCACATCCTCACACATCACCTGAACATACACCTCACATCCTCACAATTTACCTGGACATACACCCCACATCCTCACATTTACCTGAACATAGACCTCACATCCTTACATTTACCTGAACATACACCTCACATCCGCAAACTTTACCTGGACATACACTCCACACACTCACACTTTACCTGAACATAGACCTCACATCCTCACAATTTACTTGAATCTAGACTAACAACTGACTAATAACATCCTCACACTTTACCTTAATATAATCCTCACATCTTACCTAAACATAGACCTCACATCCTCACATCTTACCTAAGCAAAGACCTCACATCCTCACACTTTACCTGAACATAGACCTCACATCCACATACCTGTCTTGACGTTTAGTCATTTGAACATTTTTTATTGCTGTCATTGTTTTTTTTTTCAGATTTTCCATTGATAATAAGTGGAGACAAGGTAATGGTGATGAACCCATTAGCCAGTGTATCAAAGGTGGTATTTAAAAGAAAGCTTTGCAAGATCGACAGCGATTCCCAGGAGGCAATGCTAAAATTGATAGGCGATAAGTTTGGATTTTCAAAGCTCTGTTTCAAAGACGGATACCAGGGTACATTGTTTTGGTTCCCATTGCGAACAGAACCTTCGAAACTGTCCCGTGATACTTATACATATGAGAAAATTCAAGACATATTTCGTGGATTTAAAGATTTGGCACCATCTATTCTATTGTTTTTAAAGAAAATTGAATTTATAGAAGTGTTTGAAGAATCAGAGAATGATTTGATTTATCGAGTACAGATATCTGTCGAGGAAGGTGAGGACCTTCGTCATATTCATGATCAGAAAGGAAATTTTTTACACCAAGTTGAAGAATTGAATGGGAAATTAGCTAATGAATATCTTTTCCATTATATGAAACTTTCTATTAAATGTGAAGGGAAGAAATGGTTATCAGAAGAAACAAATACAAAAGATTGGATTGTGGTAAATCATTATCATGGAGGATCTGTAAGTAATGGTCTACAGAGATTAATAGATGATGAAGAATGGTCTTATAGTCCATATGTCAGTGTAGCATGATGCTTATCAAATTGTGATGAAGAGTTTAAAGGGCATATATATTGCTTTTTACCACTACCGTTAGAACGCACTAGCCCTACTGGCTTGCCAGTTCATATCAATGGGTTCTTTGCTTTGAGCCAAGATCGTCATCATATTAAATGGATGTCATCAGAGGAGGAAAAGAGGAACGGTCACTCTGAAAATTCTGTAGATTGGAACAAAATTTTAGCTACGGAAATCTTGCCCTTGGTATATTCAGAATTGCTAACATATTTGACTAAAGCTGGTATTGACACGAATACAATATATAAATTGTTACCTAAACCCGAATTGATTACTGAAAACTGGAAGATATTTATCAAACCACTTTTTAAACAACTCTACAAGAAAAATATCATCTTTACCAAGACTTCTGGTGGAAAATGGATTAAACCTGAAGAAGCTATTGTGTTGGTAAAGGAAGAATATCCAGATACTATTTTAAAGGTTATAGAAGATGTTTATTTATTAGAGAAAAAGAATGTAGCTTGTCTTCCAGATGTTTTTGTGGAATCTTTAAAGTCACATGGCCGGATTAAAGTGTCTGATGCGTCATGTTTACATTCCTTTTTGATTAATCATGACGGTATATTTGACTTGATGGACATCAACCAGAAGATGAAACTACTGGAATATTTCATATCTAATGATATCGAAAAACTGCAAGATCTGAAGATATTGCCATTAGCTAATGGTGAATTTCAAATATGCTGAAGAAGAGACTGTATTCTTGTGTGAAGCAGAGAGTTTGAAATTATTCCCGGGAATGGAATCAAGGTTTATGCTCAATGACCTTTCTCAAGATATATCTCAAAAACTGATAGGTATTCCAAATTTCATTTATATAATGTTTATTACACACAATTAAAACTTTGTTTTTGTGATATGGCTTTGTCTTCACTTTTTTATATTGCCCATATGTTTGCATATTGTGTCTTCGCCTCAGTCTGTAAACAGTGCCATATTTCATCTAATCTGAGCATCTGATTGTTAGAATATTGGCACGGTGGTTGATGTTAATGATGAAAGATTTTTCTTTTACTGCTATGGACCGAATTGTGTTTTATAAGCAAGCTATAGACTGGATTGACCTTTTGAACCATTTTTGTTTTGAGTGAATATTATTTTCAAGGTAACTTGGTTCTTTTCATTTCAGATCGGTTCCAAGTTAAACAACTAATGTCTGAGCATATTCCAAAATTACTCCAAGAATGTATAGAGATTAACAGTTTCAGGCATAAAGAGATCACACCACAAATTACTGATTGGTTGATTGACGTATGGAAATACATACACAAAAATGAGGATGTTTTCCAGTTATCATGGATTTTTACATTTACATTTACTACCATTTCATAAAGAAAACAAACTCATCCAAGTTGATTCAGTGTCTATTTTGAGTTCCAAAGAAAACATGGACACTTTAGATCCACAGTTATCGAATTCTCTTGAAAACCTTGGTGTAAAGATTATCACCTCACTCTCTAATACAATATCAGCACTAGTGGAGGGTAAATTTGTACAGTATCCTACAACTGAAGGTATATTTAACTGTATGAAGAAAATAACGAGTAAACAACAAATAGAACAGTTTAACCAAGCTGCCTCA